AGGATCAAGTGATCGGAAGAAAGATTCTATGCGGGAAAGTTGCGGATTGGACCAAGTTTCCCTGGATTGATTCCGCATCGATCCAACGGGATCCCGTCGGTTTGATCAATGTTTGTCGGGATCCCCCCCTTGAGGAAAAGAAAAAAAAATTCTTTGGGGTCCGTGCCAACTTTTTGTGGCCCGGGCGTTTTTGAATTTTGCGTTCGAACGGTTTGGCACTCGTCGCCGATCGCGAAAATAGATTCCCCTCTTCGTGTCACGTGTCTCATCGTTTCCTTCTTGCTCTCCCCTTCTCTCTATCTCTGGAGGATCCCCTCCAGAGACGCATCAATCACTCCAGTCTGCTTTCATTAGCGTGCCGCGGATCCTCCCAGAGATCCTCCTCCTCTCGAAAACGCCGTTCGGGAATCTTTAAAATAGTCTGAATCCCTGAATACTACTTCATAACCGGGACTGCGGGTGACGGCATTCTGCGTGTGACGAATTTCTGCGTAAGTGTTGCAGTAAAAATGAATACGGTTTCAGAGGGTCCTTAAAGATTCCCCGGGGATCCTCGTCGAATGTTTTATCTTGACAGGTTCTACGATCCCCGGAACAGGCGTTGAACGAAGTTTCCGTTGCATTCCTGCCAAAACGCGCTTGAAATTAACCCCCAAAATAAAATAAAATAAATTGCGAATACATTATGGACGCCTCTTTGTTTTCCCTTCGTTTTTCTTCAGTGACAAATGGAGCATGAAGATTAATGTCTTTTGTTGAAAATAAAAAAAAGATCCTTTCTTGAAAAATCGTGCGATGAGCAAACAACGCTTTTAGGTACGGGCAGGGAACTGATCATAGTTGAACCCCATCTTTCGTCATTAACTAGAGAATGCTCGACGATATTTTAAAAATCATCACGAGGAATTTTGTTTTTCCAATTCCTGTCTAATGAAATTCGAGTGTGAAACTTTGAATACTGTCCTCAATTCCTGTTTGCTGAATTGCAAAACCCGAAACACATCAATGGGAAAATCGGGTTGAAAAAAAAAACATTCTCAATCCGAATAAAGTATTTATCTTCTTCCTCAACTGTCGGGTTTCCGTTTTTTCAAAGACGAAGGGAAAATTAATTACCCTGTGAGGTATTCAACATCCAGACACTTAAAAAAGCTGGGAGTTGAAGTTTGAAGGGAAACAAAGCATTTGAGAATATGGGAAGAATTCAATAACGCTACAAAAAAATTTGAACTCCGTTTAATTTCATATAGCTAATTATTGAAAATCACGTCGTCTCATGCAAAACGCAGTATGAATGTCTGCTCCCAGAACCTCGTAATCCCCCGTTAAAATTCTCTAGTTCGCTCAACTAACAACTAAAACATTTAAAACAATCTCACTGAAGGCGTAAATCGGAAATTAAAATACTGTATAGTTTTTACCCCTATTGAAGTTTATTCGAGAATGTTGCGTATGTAGGAGACCTTAATCTTATGCATGCATACATAGAGGAAAGAATGTTCAATAAATAGTTATTTTCAGTGCAAATTATTTCTAATTTTCTATCTGGATTTCCAATCACGCGATTGACTTTTGAGTGAAGAAATTGGCCAACGCCAAGCGAATTTTATTGAATTTCAATATTTGCTGTAAACTGTTTCAAAGTCAGTCAGAATTTTACTGACAATAAATCTTATTTCAATGTTTGCCTTGGAAAAGAGTCTATGGGAGTTTCCTGGGATTGCGCCTGCGACCTAAATTCACCCAAGGGATCCGAACCCCGATATAATTTCCCCCAACTCCAGAAGATCCCCGCTCGAAAACGCATTCCAGCGACGATACAAAGATTCGAATGAGAGTCCGCGGAAATTTGCATTTCGTGCGAAATGAGAAGCAGGTGGTGGGGTCGTGGATGGATTGGCCTGTGTTCCTGCAGCAAATTGGCACAGGGCCATGTCATTGACCCAGGACTGAATAATTCATGCCAGCTTCTACTCGATTACCAGCCTAATGGTCTGTCCAGGGATCTTCTCATGAAACCCGGTCCGGGTCTGATAAATCTCATCAACGCCCAAGTCGATATCTCACCAGCCCATCTACAGAAAATGGAAATTCCTGGGCATCCCCGAGGGAATCTCCGAAAACTCTTCGTTTCCACCATTCCCATCAAGGTCCCGGGTTTCCTGGTCGGGGGAATGCGGGAACTGGCATTTTTATTGCCGGGTTCAGGTTTCCGGGGGGGGGGGGGGGGGGGGACCTGCGCCTTCCGTTGGAATTCATTACGAGTTTGATGCGTATTTTCGAATGATATTTATCTCGAACCCCGCATTTTTTAATTTCAATATAATCTCGACTATGGCCTACCTTCAGATTATCGAACAGTAATAAATACAGTATCACAATGCAAAGCCCCGATTCTGTCGCTTTGAATTATCGAAAAAATGAGTTAAAATTAACAATTGGGGAATTTTTTCTTTATTCCATGCACAATTGTGAAGATGACCATTGACTGTTTCAAAGTGCCCAAATGAATTTTTAGTGAAAGATTTTGAAGCACAGATTTCCTCTCTCTCTCGTGCTCTGATCGTCTCAAAAATTTGCTAGACTCAGTAATAATTTTGTTGCATAATTCATCAGGTGGACTTTTTGTGACACATTTTAATAAATAATTTTATACTGGTGTTCATCGCATTGATCATAATTCACATACATATTCCTGTACAATTTTCCAAGCAAGGGAATCCCAGTAGATGATCTAACTTCAATATGAGCCTGTTACAAAAGTGTTGCCTCATTTTTTTTCAATGTCAAGTCTTCGATAAGTTTTCGAAGTAATCAATTTTGAAAGATGTTTGACTGTTCTGGCAATGGAATGGGGTCATTAGCCGAGACCCATTGAAGATTTACTGCGTGTAAAGGACAAAATTTTTTTTAAACCATAAATTGAAATACACAAGCACGTCGTTCTCGCATTTTTGCTCCGCGATAAGTTTAAATTTCTGTCATATCTAATGAATGCATTGATGCATGTTTTGTGCTAATTCACGATTCGGATCTTTTGCCAAGAATCTGAGGAACTCGATTCGTGCGTCCCAGGGTGTCTAGAAATATACCAGTCTACCCTCCTCGAGGGAATACGTTTTGCATTCAGGCCTCAGTCATGAGCAGTTTGATATCCGAGAGTTTCTCTTCTCACGCCTTGTTCTCATTCCGTCATTCACTGGCCTTTTCTCCTGTGTTTTTTGGATCCATTCAATGGAAGAAAAAAAGGAGAATTTTAAAGACGAGAGTTATTTTTCGATTGTAGAAAAATCCACGTGACCAAAGATGCGAAAGAATATCCGGTTCCCGAAGGTTTTTACAAAGTTTGAGGGGGTGTTCTCAAATTTCCTCGTTGAGGAGCCATTTTTGAAGATGAATAGGGTAATTTGATTTTTTGGAAGATGTTTGATGGTAGGCAATATCCCCGGGGGAGCAGAATGGAGGCTATTTGTTGCGAGATCCGGAGAAAGTGCCTGGGATTGATGAAGGGTCGTGATGGGGATCTTTTTATAGAGGAGCAGGGGGATCGGGGTCGTGAATGCAGGGCTCTTTAGTTTTATCCCTGGCCGTGGAAAAGGTTTCGGATCCTTTGTGATGTCAAAAGCAAGCTTCAGTGTCGCATTTCCAGAGACGTTTTTCCCGCTGTGATATTTTTTCCTGGATGGAATTCATTACGTCTCGGGGATCCCTGCCACGCAAATCTCGACAGCGCTGACGTCAATGGACGCCGCGTTCCATGGATCCCGGGGATCCTTCTGCACCTGATTGCCTTTTGCCCCAAATAGCCTCATTAGAGGAATTTTGACACCTGTCAACACACTTGCTGCGGGATCTCCGGGATCCCCTGCATGTTTCTGCTTTTCAAAAGCGTCCATTTTTCCTGTTGCTTCGAGGGGATCCTGACAGGGCTCCCTTGTTACCTGCGCTTTGTCACTGAGCAGCTCAACAATGCTCACCTGGGAACTTGTCCAAAGGGAAAACTCTACGTAGAAACCTTTTGTATGTTTTGTTCGTCGCTTGTTTTCTGGATTCCTCGGAGATGAATGAAACTTTTCCGCTTCGTCTTGCGATTTCAGGAAAACCCCCGACGCTGGGAAAATTTAACTTTCCACTCAAATCAATGTCACTCTTGTTATATTTTAACTCTACACCAGCATCAACTTGTTTTATCTTATAAATGCGAAGAGGATTTTGTGCGCTAAAATATCGTATATCGTAGTGTGGAACCAGTAATATTCAAGAATGTATTCCAATTTTTTACGGTGCCCATTCCTCATCCCTTGCTTTTTCTGACTTTTCAATATTTCTGGGTAAAGTAGAAATCGCTGTGTATTTTCTTAAATATTTGAATTTCTGCTCTAGGACTGTGGAACCTCGATTACAAGTGTTCATGAAGAATACTTCACTTTTGGCTATCAAAAATTTGAAAATTTCAATTCAATGCCCAACAACCTGTTGTAACGTTAGTGCTAATCTGCTTGAATTTAAAAGGACATTACATTTTCCTAACGCACAAAATGATGATGCTGTGATAATACCTGAAATGATAAATTAATTTAAGATCCTAATACTTCCAGCGATTTGAGGTGAGCGATTATTCTTTTCGATATTTTGACCCTCTGTTTTTTTGGAGTCCGTGGCTTATCCGGGATCAGATGACCGATATTCTTGTAGAACTCAAAACGGCGGATTGAGGAATTTCCGTAATCATTGATTTAGACTTATTTCAGTCTCACAGTTGACGGAAATATCTAGAAACGAAGCCAGGGATACTTTTCAGCGTCTTTAAAATATTCTTGTGATCATTCATATTCTACCAGTCCCAGTCAGTAGAGTTTCTTTTTCCTTTTAAGGTTGTTTATTCATGGGAAATCGGACAGTGTTTTCTTGCTTAATTCGTGGATGAGTGAAAGAGATTGGTTGAAGCAGATTTTGGCGGTAATTGAGATCTTGGGTAACAGTACCCTGAGATGACGCGTATGTGGGGCAGGATATGGGATCCAGAGGAGAAGAAGAAGAGCAAGATGGAAAGTTGTCAGCTGCAGAGTTGTCTGGATCGGGGTAACACGGGGGTTCGCAGGCATGAAAGCCAGCATCAAGCAGATTGATCAAACCTCAGAGGGTATTCTGGGCCAGAAAAAGGGGCGGTAACAAAGCCAAACTGGTCTCATTTCCCTTTTCTGGCAGGATCCCCGTGATGGATGCTGTCCTTGCCAACAGGGGACATACACAGGAATAAATTGAATCCCTGTGATGGATAAATTCAGCATCCCTCCTCTTTGGTGTTGCCCCTGATGGGGTTTCGTGCCAAAAGAAAAAAAAGGGAATTCCGTAGAGTTGCCAACTCTTTTGTTCCCTCCAAGTTCCGCGGAAACTTTTTCCCGGCAACTTCTCCCATCAATCAACCAATCAATCTTCCCAGAGAGTTCAACTCGGGCTCCTCCCTGGAGTATCAAAACTCCATTTCAACTTCCTTAAAAGTCTCGGAACTGCTTCGGAGAAAAAAAACGGGGGATCCTCTTTCTTTTCTCGCGTTCCAGATATCCAGAAAAAACTTTTTCTCTCGAGAACTTGGCAACCCTGATGGGAGCCCATTTCTGGTGTCCAACACCTCCAGGAAATGTCTGGGGGGGAAAAAAGATATCCGGGGCAGCATCAATGACCCCCGCTTCAGGAAGCACGAGTGCTTCCAGTCAGGAAATGGGTTGGCAACCCTGCCGGAAGCCCTGAAATGGCTTCTTGCACAGTTGCACAATGTCCCGCGAGTCTCCCCCATTTCTAGAAAATGGTTCTCCGATACACTGCCCGAGAAGGGGGGGAACCTCTGGAACACTTTTTCACCCCCGTCCTCTCTCTGGGAGGAAAAAAGATTCGGACGGGCTCGCATGGATTTGCCGGGTTCAATTGTGCAACTCTGCCTTTCCAGTAGACTGCGTGATGGAAACATGAAGTGATGGGAGTAAAAAGTCGAATAAATAAAATTACCTTTTCCTCCAAAATGCTTTTCCCCATTTTTTTTTCCTATTTTTTTCTCCCCGGGATCTCATAAAGCCCCTTGACAATAGAACCCCTTTGCAACTCGCTCTACCCGAGGGTTCCTTTCTTTGCCTGCGGTGTATTATTATTATTTTCGCGTTCGATACGAAAATCAAAACGTGGCTTCTTTACATTTCACGCATTTTCTTCGAATGGCATTGAGGTCTAATGAAAGCTAGACGTGACACAAATAAGGGCTATGACAAATGAGTATCATGAGTAAAGAATTCTATGCTTTCTTTTATGTCACGCTTTTCGTCACACTCGGAAAAAATAAACGTGCGTTTCCGGTCGAAACTTTTCTGGAGTCTTTTCGGGTGGAATATTGTCATAGCATTAAACATGGCTCAAAAGACATATGCAGTGAGACCCCAAGATGCGGACGTAATTGGTGCATCAAGAATGTCCGTAAGTCGAAATGTCTTCAAGTCAGGTCTTATTTTCCCTTAAACTTACAATATATAATTTTTAATTTGTCTTTTATGGACAAAATACTCCCCATGATTCCATGAAAATAAAAATTGTCTCCCAATTTAAACTGATTTCTGCTGGAGGTAATTTTTTAAATCAGCTAAATGGATGGTAAATTGGAGAGAAAAATGCCGAAGAACTTTTCGTACATCAATTTTCGGTTTATTAATATCTGTTTCTTGTAATTTGGCCTGAAATGTATTTGCAATTTTATCACAAAGTGTCCCTATGTCGAGTCTGTGTCCTCATGTTGGGCCTTTTTTAATTCATTTTCCAGGGAAAATAAGTGTCCCTATGTAGAATTGTCCGCAGGTCGAGGTGTCCTCATGTGGGGTTCTCACTGTACAGTAATATTGAAGGTAAAAGCGTATCTGATTGAATCCTCGAAAAGAATACCGATACAGTTTATGAATGTAGAGTTCGACAAAATCGAATCAATCTTTGATTACATTTTGTTTCTGAACTTATGCCAAAATATTTATTCTTACCCATTTTTTTCTTCTTTGTAATGCATATTTATGTTTTTTCATGAAACAAAATTCTGGGATTCAATTAAACTCTCTTAGTTCACCAAAAATGATATTTTTTTGGATGATCTGAGCTCACTCCGATGTCTGAATCCTAACATCGCCTGATTCAAGCCTAATATTGCCATGCTGAAATCTTCTTGCAAAAATAATGAGAAATACGTTTTTTCCATGTCATGAAGATTTGTTTTTATGAAATCTAGAAAAGCTCTTTCTTCATACCAACGAACTGAAAAAGAAGCAAACATTTATCTCGCCAAGCGCATCGCGGAAAAACAATTTTTGAATAAGTGCTACAGATGAACAATTACAATATTTTCCTTGAAAGAAATTCTTGTTTCACGTGATTCTTGAAGCTTTTGCGGACGTTCAAGCCTTCAACTTTTACGCGTGGCAATAATGTATTTAATTTGACTCCGAAATTTTGATCGTTACTGACTGATCCGATTCGGTGTGTGTTTTGAACTTTGTGTCCGTTGTCGAAAGGTTGTAAAATATTATAAAATATTGCTTTCTTGTTTTTTTCCAGGTTTTGGCTTTGTTACTTTCGAAAATGAAGACATTGTGGACAAAGTCTGCGAGATCCACTTCCATGAAATCAACAACAAGATGGTGAGTGAATCCAGTTTCCGGCCAAATCCCTTCCCTGCCCCCGGAAAAGCAATCAGCACTCGAGAAAATCCTCGGCATGCTAATCATGCCTTGAGGTTCAGCGGGTTTAATTGCTTTCTGTCCGAGTGGTTCATCAAGTCCCTTTTGGGGGGGGAACCTTGGAGCGGTTTTAGTCCCATGATTCCAACTGAACCCCGGGTGACAATGCAGACCGGGCCCGTTTATCCCGGGCCGCCTTTCCCACCCAGTCAACGCCTAATCACGTGATGTTGATTTCCTTCCCAGCATTGCCCGGATTCCATTGGAAACAAATCAAAGCCCGTATTATCGTCCTTCATTAAGTTTCCGCTTCGCCTCATTAGCAAAGTTCGTTTTTGCGTGTTCTCGCTCAACTTCGGAAGGGGTTTCCATGCGCTTATGGGATGACTAAATCGTTTGCTCTTCGTAATGAAGCAGAACTACGAAGAAATCCTTCCTTGAGGCTCATGTGTGAGGAATGTTCCGGCAAAAAAATAAAAAATAAATCTTGAAGAGGTTACGTGTTCTTAGGAATTTATTCTTTCAAGTTCTTCGAAAAACTTCTCGTCTCAACGAGAAAAATAACTCGAAATAAAATTCCGGTGGTGTGCTTAGTTTTTAAAATTTTGAATAATTTGACGCAAAATTAATGTTGCATGCAGAAAAATCTTGACGACGTCACTTAGTCTCAGGGATGTGTATTTTAATGCTCTTGAAGAAATTTGTCGCTTCAGGTGAATAAATTCAAGTCAAGTTGAAATTTCGCTACACGATATCCAAAAATTAGCTGTGCTGCAAAAAAAAACAAGCGTGAGCAACGTTTAATTTGGCAGAATTTCCACGCGCAATTTATGTTGCATACACGAAAATCTTGAAGGCGTCACTTGTTCTCCCAGGAATTTATTTTCTACGTTCTTAAAGAAATTCATCGTTTCAGTGATAAAAGTTTAACTCAAGTGAAACTTTCGCTGCATTATGTCCAAAAAGTTGCTGTGCTGCGCAAAAAAGCTTGAGTGGCGGTTTAAATGTAGCAACATTTTCGCGAACAAATTTTTGCATCATTTGTCGACTTGCAGTTTCTGAACGTCTAAATGAAAGGTTTTCGGGGGAATCCGATTTTTAAATGCATTTCCTTGTTTTAAAAAAATGCATTTTTTCACTCCTCATTAACTTATTCCTTATTTTGGGCATGTTATTGTAAGGAATCATTATTTACACAGTAACTTTCCAAAAATATTCGCTTAGCGGGAAATGCTCATTTTTCTTCTGGTCTTTTGTGATGGGTAGCAAACTTCTAATCCTGTTTTCTACCTGTTCGTGATTCGAAATCAGCCGAATTCTCGAGGAAAAAACCCTTCAAGAGATTACTTCGTTTATCGTGTTTGGAATCTCATGAATTCCTGGTCGTATATAGAAAATGTATTTGTTTCTTAATTTTTTGCAGCACCAAATGTGGTTTCAAAACGGAAGCGATCAGTAAAGCTATTTCGACAGTTTTTGCAATAATTTTGAGGTTCTTGTTGGACCATTTCGGTATGATAGGTATTTTTGAGATAATTTCATGCTAATGCGGTAAATTACAATACCGGCTATCGATTTAGAACTTGCCGCAAACTTTTGCCGGGGTCCCTGCAATATTCTTTTTCGAAATATTGAAAGAACTATCTGAACTTGGGAGTTATTTTAATTTGAGCTACCGACCAAAATCAAGCAAGCGAATTTTCCGGTGATAACTTTAATGTGTTGAAATTATCCGTTATGGATGCAACAGAAATTTGAGTGCTTTTTCGTCTTCGGGCCATCAATCGCATCGTATGCCATTATATTGTTGAAAACAAGGCGTTCTATTTTTTTTGCCGAAAGGAATATTAGAGGCGAAACGGAATCGAGTAGGAAATATGCTTTCCCCTCACTTTCGCGAAATCCATGCCGAGCCACGATCTGCGAACTCAAATCAATATCAGCACCCCATTATTCAACTTTTCTTTTCTCCCTCCTCGCTGAAATATACGAAGGTTCTAACAAAAGTTCTCGGAGTAGCAATGAAAATGGCTTACAATTGAGCTGGAAAAAAATTTTCTTGAGGGAAAACATATTCTTTGGCACACAAAAAAAATCAGCCCTGTTTTTGACAAATTTTATTGAATTGTTTTTTCATAATTCACCCTTTTTTGGCCCAGCTTTCCGCTCAGAATTTTTGAAATCAACTTGGCATTCTTTCTAAGGGTTTCCTCCAGGTCATCCAAGGCAATTCCGCCATTTTCATCAACTGTAGGCCATTTTCATTGCTACTCCGATAACTTTTGTTAGAACCCTCGTACGTATACGACCAGGATTGATGCAAATATTCGTGCCCCGACTCGGATGAAGAAAATAAAAATGAAACCCCTGGTCAAAAAATTCAGATGACTCATGTTCCGCACGTTCTTTTGATTTTTTTTTTTAGACAAGAACCCCCCGACAAAAGCTCGAGAATTAATTTTCTGCGGAAATGTGAAATAAAAAATTGCTGTTTCCATCTCTGACCTCATCTGCTTGTGAATACTCGAAGAGAATTTTTAGGTAGCTGGAAGGAATTAATTAAAAGGAATACTGTATTAACCTTAACGTGAAGTAATATTAATCGTTATGATTTATTTCACTGAGTTTTTCCGAAGAATCGACGCATTAATGAAGTATTGTAATTCATGTCATAATTTGCGTACACCTCGATTAACTTGATGAGAAAGTTGGTATCCGATGCATTCATTTTTATCGTTAAGCTCATGAGAGATCGGGGTCATTGATCGTCTGTTGATTGAATTCACGAACCAATTTCTGTTTATGCCAAAATTTAGTTTAATGTACTCAGTTCTGGTTATTTTCATAGATCAAATCACACCCGATGTCGCCCTGAAAACGAAGACGTACATGGTAAAGCGTTCTTTAGAATAAAATTTAGTAAAATGAGATTTTTTTAGGAACACGGTGTTGCTCTTGGTTTCAAATGGAAAAGGCGGATTTTCATGAATAATAAAAAAAGTGCAGCTACTAGTGGGCATTTCTTTTTCTCAATTCTGACCCCTCATTCGAGTCAAATGGTGCAGGAACTTGGGAAGTGACCCCCATAAGGGAAGAGAAAGCTGTTGGAACCCGTTTGTCAGGGATCCCAAAGTGGCGCCTCCAGTGAGTCCGAGTCGTTCGTCTCGCCTCATGAACATTTCGGCGTGGCGCCCATTTCCTTGGTTCCCCCACATTCGCATACCCCCCATGGTAACGCGGCTCCCCTTGGTTTCCGGGCTCTCTCTGGGAATGGTTTCTCGGGGACGCCAGAAGTGGCCCAGGAACGGGTGCCGGTCTGCACGAATGCCCTGCTGGTTCGGAAGAACGTGTGCTTATGCTCGGTTCTATCCATCATTCACACGTTGTCTACCTTTGCAATAAAAGTGGAAAAACACTTTTTTTTTGGCGCAAAAACATGATCTTATGGGGGACGGGTTTGGTGGCAGAGTAAGATCGATTGTGGGTTTGAAGGCTTACCAGTAATTTTGCTTTTTTTTTTTTTAATCACGAGAAAAGAAGGGATGCATTGTTTGGAATCTTGACGTGGAGCCTCTTTTATCTGAGACAATTTCATGTCGGGATGAGCGAAGACAACGAAAACTTTGGTTCTGAAATACTGTACAATGCTTGGACATGATACGAATGGTAGAATCTCTCTACGACGATTTTCTGTGTGGAACGATTTTTTGTGCTTGATCCAAATGGTTCTCTTCCCATGTTATGGGGGTTCTCTGCTACTTAATTATCTCGACGACATATTTTTTTCTGGTCCCTTGAATTTTGTTGTAGAGAGAGTCCGCTTTTAACAGCCTTCCTTCGAATCTCTCACAGCTCAAACATTTTTGTAATTTACGGTACTAATTTTCAGGCGTCCGAGATTTTGAGAATATACTGAAAGTAAAGTGAATTAATATCTTGAAAAGTCCAGGTGGCAAATCCTTCTTTGGACATATCTTCATGTCGAAAATGTGTTTAGGGTCATTTGCCGATAAAATTCATAGTTGATTGAAGTACGGATAACAGAGGTTCCATTGCAGAAGTGCTTCTTAGGCACACAAAAGATCTATTAAAAAATAGCCTGTCCGCAAAATGTGTCTCTCGTTCAAACTGGCCCACAGATTCAGTCAAGTTGATGAAACCTGATTTAGGCCATGCGACAGTCTGCAAAGTATGTATTTCTCCAACGATTAGCTGGCCTTGAATATTTATCTCTCTCTCTCTCTTCCTCATTTTAATTGGTTTGCAGTTGTAAAAATGTTCCGGAGTACTGATTGATGCCATGAGGCATGTCGGTCAAGTACTGTACCACATTTACTTGTGCACAATGCGATACCATAATTTTCACCAAGACAATCAAGAACATTTCACAAATGGTTAGATTTGAAGTACATTCCGAAATGTGTGGCGCACGAACAAAAAATAAAATTGGCATTTGTTTAGAAGTGAGAGGAATGTGGAAATTTTTCTCTCATTCCAAGTGACACGCAAATGCAAACTGGTTCATGAATGAAGGAACAGAACATTTTATTTGCCGCTTTTCAGCATTCACAAGGTTCAAGCAAGATTTCCAAATCCAAACCCCCTCCACACCCAACCCAAATCCACTCAAAGACATTTAATCACTTCAGAGCAGGAAATAGAGCACAAATGGATCACAAAATTAAAATGAATGAAATACTCAAAGGATCAAGATAAACTGTTGGCTTTATATGATTTCTCATCAAAGATTCTCTGTAATCTGTTCATTCAACTAAACCTCGTACGGAAACAAGCTGAAGACCTTGTGCTTTAAATTAATTTTTACATATATTTTGTTTCCAATGTCAGGGAATGAATGGGTGTATGCATTACATGTCAGATGTCCAGTTGTGTTTCATGTTGTATTGTATTTTCTTTTATTTTTGTTATCAATTTGTGCTTTCCTGCTCTGAAGTGATTAAAATGTCATTGAGTGGATTTGGGTTGGGTGGGAAGGGGGTTTGGTTGAACCTTGTGAATGCTGAAAAGCGGCAAATAAAGTGCTCTGTTCATTCATTCATTCATTCAAAAATAAAAGCAAATACAATCCACAAAATACAACTGGACATCTGCCATGTATGCATACACCCATTCCTTCCCTGACATTGAAAACAAAATATCAGTAAAAAATTTTTTTAATTTAAAGCACAAGGTCTTCAGCTTGTTTCTGTACGACTGGTTCATGGACATTGATTTAGACTGAGCTTTGTGCATTTGATCCCAGTTTGAACGAGAAAGACTGCCCCTGGTACGTTTGTGGTTTGATGTGTTCGTGTCCAATTGTGTGGAGCCGAGTTGTGAAGGACCTTACCCCCCCTCGGGGCCGGGTGTTCCTGTGGTTTGTCGTTGCAGGTGGAGTGCAAGAAGGCGCAGCCCAAGGAAGTGATGTTGCCGCAGCAGATCGCCAAGGGCCGCGCGGCGACGCGCGGGACCTACGGTGAGTTGGTGGTGCTGGGTGCGACGGGAGGCGGCGGCGCCGGTGGTCCCGCGGTGCCATCGGCCGCGGCGGCTCTGTCCGCTGCCGCCGCGCTGTCTGCGGCCGCCGCGTTCCGCTACGCGCCTTACGTGATCCCGGCGCCGCTGCTCTCGTCCGCCGCCGCCGCCCCCGCGCAAGCCGCGGCGCCGTTCCCCTTCTACGCCCTCGCCCTGCCGCCGACCTGCAAGACACGCGCGTTCGCCGCCCAGCATCCCCTGGCCTACTCGATGGCCGAACTGGCCGGCGTCCCTGCGCTCGACGCCAAGGCCTTGTACCCCATCCCTGTCGGCCTCTAAGAACGAAAGCGTTTTCACAAAACAAAAAAAAAAGATAGCGAGAAAAAGAAAAAGAAGAACAAATTCAACCGACGGACGCCCCGAATCATGTCTCTTGCCCCCCGACAGGACAGGAAGCCTCCTCCTCCTCCTCCTCCTCCTTGTCAAATTCGAATTAGGGTCCATTTCCGAAACAAAACGAAAAAGACAGAATCCAATCCAAGGGAATCATCGTCCATCTCATCGCGAATCAAACCCGAAGACCGGGAATCCAGCATCCGATTCGTAGGATCCTCCCTTTTTCGCCATCCATTCGTAGGAGATCCGGGGATCCAGGGAAAACTTCTCGAAAATTTAAACCACGGGCTTCTTCTGTAGTTCTTCGAACGCATGAAGTCATCCGAAAGTCTGCACGCGACCAAATTTTTTTTTTTTCAACTCAACTTGGGGCCGCCCAACTTGCTTTTTCAGGTTTTTTTTTCTCGTGTGTGACGACATTCAAGACGAGGATCCTCCTTTGGGAATCCTACTTTTCTAGATTTTCTTCGAATGTCACCTGCCTGATAGATGAGAAATATCGTCAGATATTTTTGATCAAATGGTTGAGGATGACCTTTGGATGCTTTCATTGCAAATTTTACCCTGAGATTCGCTACTACCGTAAGAACATTTTCACTCACCCTAATGATACGCTGGAATTTTAATTTGGAAAGTTTTTTCTATTATTTCAAAAAAAAAATATGAACATGGAACAGTCACGAAATTTGCTGAGAACTCACTCCATAAAATTTAAAATCACTCGAGAATCACTGGAAATTGAAAAAATGCGAAGTAAATTTTTGAGATCATTTTCTTGACCAGTTTGAAAGTCAGGAAGAGCGAAAAGATTTTCAGACGAAACGGGGGTTTGTTCATAAAAGTAATTGCAATGTAACTGAAAGTTTTACTGTCTTTCTTTTTTTTTTTTTTAGCCCGTCTTCAAAACCAAGAGAAATTTCTCCCCTCCCTTGTGTGAAATCCCCGGGAAATGATAGTGAACCTAGGATTTGTATCCATTGTCTTGAAACCTCAAGGGATCAACGTTCAAATGATGAGATCAATATGGGCATTTCTTAGGATCCCCGAACCAAATCTGTTTCGCTCGTTCAAAAATTTCAAGTGGGCGATTTTTAAGCTATTGTGATGCAGCAGTCAGTTATTCAAAGTTTGCAGCGTAAATCGGACATTCAGCAGAAATATTTTCTGATTTCAGCTCATATCTGTCGGGAACCCTACGAAGTGTCCATATTATAAAGGTGCTTTCCAGCGTGTGGATCCTTTGGGGGGGGGGGGTTTGTCCAGCTTGCGGAAGGATCCCTTGAAGGTATCAGTAGGAAACCGTTTCAGAGAAAGGGGAGAGCTTAAAGAAATTGCAGTCCATTCACCTGAGGTCGACTCTGGAAATTGTAAATAAAATATTTGTTTGGGACGAGTATGGAGATTGATCCTCCAGTGAATAATTAGTGCAATACTTTTTTTTTCTAGTCCCAGCAAAGAAAAAATTGGTCAGTCAATTTTGGGTGGAGAGGCAAATTTAAGATCCCTTGAAACTCAGCATGCAAGAAGGATCAAACGTTGCCCAGAAAACTGGCAAGTCTGCGAAAAACATGAAACAATTGGAGCTTATTTTCCTGTGCTGAGTTTCCAGGGCAAAAGATCTCTTGCAAAATTGTCAAAGCAATGTGTTGATCAACGTAAGTTATCAGTGTTTTAAGTCCCGTCATTTAGGGACTCAGTAAAAATGGGAGCATTTCTCAGTCCAATTTCTGCTCTGCCAATGTCCAGCACTCATATTTATCCACGTATTTATGAATGTTCCAGAGGATACAGTGTATTGGTGTTTTTTTTTAATAAATGCCTCCTGGAATTGGCAGAATGGGGGTTGGGTTGAGCCTATTTCTGGCCTGACTTCATTGCCTGAGTTGCCCAGATTTTTTCTAAGGAATGTAGTACAAAGAGCTCAATGGAACTGCAAGCAATACTTAACTTTTCTGGTAGCTTTTGAGTGCTAAAAAACTTGTGGGAACAATTTTAGTGAAGGTGTAGAAACTTGAGGAGTTTTAGGGCCGCTCAGGGTGAAGCTCTTGGCTGAGCCAGATTTCAAGCCGAAAGAACCGGTTGGACTTTGGTGATAGTGCTGCCCCCTGTCGGATTTCCAAAAGCTGCTGAGCTTAGAAAGTTGGCTAAGGTATTCTTAGGAGGCAGTTTTTGGAATGTAACGGCTTAGTGTGTGTGTTTGGGACGATGGTCTTCCGTTTTCTTCCTGTCCGAACCATTCCTGGCCTTTGAAGCCGCTTCTCCCTCTCTCTTTTTTTCTTCACCTTGCTCCAAATCTCTTGTATGTTTGGAACACAAGTCAGTAATATTTAACTCGTCAAAGCTGGGAAACGTCTCTTCATCAAATGGATTTCCATGCCATGCTGAAACTCTGAATCGAATATGAACAGCCTCTCGTTTTTTTTTTATATCTGTAAAGCTTCGACATTTGTTTCGCTGTGGTCAGCATTAAAATTTCTTTGGAAACTAATGATGATGGCGATGGAATACAATAAGTGGATTGACTTTTTAAAAATTATTTCAAGAAATGCATGAGGCAGAAGAACATTTTTATAATTGGGTTTTGAAGCAGTTTGAAGGACAGTAAATGAGGGTTGTTCAGAGAAGAGTTGCTATGCAGAGTGAAAATTAAATTTTTCAAGTGAAGTCTTTATTTAGTCAAATTAAACTTTCAAGTACAGTGAGATCCCCACATGCGGACACCTCAACCTGCGGACAATTCGACATAGAGACACTTATTTTCCCAGAAAATAATTAATAAAAAAGGCCCAGCGTGAGAACACTGACTCGACATAGGGACACTTCGTGAATAAATTGCAAATACATTTCAGGCCAAATTACAAGAAACAGATATTTCCAACCCTGTAAGTCTATGGGAAAACAAGACTTGACTTAGGGACACTCTTGATGCACCAATTATGTCCGCATCTTTGGGTCTCACTATACAGTATTACAGTTCCTCACTGCTCAGTGACCTCTTTAACGACATCCTGTGTATTTTAAATGGGGGGGGGTTTCTGGAGGACGGAAGAAAGCGGAAGACTGTGTCTCAAAGGACGTAGACACAAGTGTGTTGGGGGTTGGGTGTGTAACCCATAGGGCCAAAGGGACAGGGTGCTCAGCCAGTCTGTGATGGAGCACTGTAGCCAGCAGCAGGGCCCCTAGCCAAACTCCGGACTCAATTGCCATCCAGATTGTGATAGAACAACTTTCCCCCTCGGGGACCCTCTAAGGCCGTCCTATTTTCCTAAGGTAGTCTTCCACTAGGTTTGGGGAGCAAAAAAAAAGAAGACTAAGACTTAGCCTAGGGCCGACGCGGGGATCTGGGGATCCAGGGCCGGGATCAGTGTGACTTTGTAGCAAACCGCGGCTTGCACCTGGTAGCCGTAGCACTCGTAGGCTTGCCAGGCCGCGGCTCGTAGACATTGGCTTTCTCGTTTGTTTTTTTTTCTCCTCCCGAGTTGTGGCTGGGTGCTTCTTTTTGCAGTGTATTGTACAGTGGTGCAAGGAATGGTAAGCCGGGGCCTCTGCCAGGGCCCCCTTTTGTACATAACTCCTGCACTTGCTTCCAGCACTTCTCTGGCCTTGTGGTTAACCCCCAGCAGTTTGTCGTTTTCTTTGTGCCTGTCTCTCTGCACTCCCACGTGGGTCTGGTTACACTCTCTTGTCCATCAGTGAACCTTGTGTGTAAAAAGCCGATTTATACATATATATATACTCATATATATATGTATGTATATCTATATATTTACGGTACGTGTTTGTCATTGTCGTCATTGCCACTGCCTCTGCCGCCCACTCCGGGTTTCCTCTGTTGGGTTCTGCTCTCCAACTCAACCTCTTGCCATTTTTGTTTTGTTTTTACCCTCCAGGGCGGGGGCTTTTCTTGCAAACAAGCATCTACATTCCAGACAAGACAATCAAAACCCCAGTCACGTTTCGCATTAGTACCGTGCAGTACTGTACTGAGTAGAACAGGTGCAATCGATAATGATGTCCTCTCTCTCTCTCTCTCGATGCCACAAAAAAAATCTGTAGCATGAGTTTCATTCACTTGGTAATGTCAAGCAGCTGTCTATTCATTGATTTCATTTTTGTCGTTGTTGGTGGGATTGAATAAAGAAAATTTAAAAAGTTAGTTTCATTCTGGTCATTTGCAATGTGGCGTCATGGGTCCTTTGGAAAAAATAAACTTGGGTAGTTTCAGAATTTTCATTTCCTTCCGCTCTAAAAATTCAGGTTTGGTTCATCAATCTACCTGTCCAGTACTGAACCGTACCCTGAAAAATGCTGTATGATCAATAACTCTCTCATTCTTTATATATTCAACAATATCTTGGGCTAATCTAGTGAGAGAAAAAAACCAAAAAATTCAAATGACGTTTGCTGCCCTCTAAATCTTGCAAATAGTGAAGAACTGCTGCATTCGCCTCATTTACTTTTGTAATGTCTTGTGCATATTCAGTCAAAGCATTTATTGAAGAGACGATAGTCTCATTTTTGCGGACTAAAACCTTCACGAGTGGCATAGCACGAAGCTAAACATGTTTTGAAGCAAGAAGTTCTGTTATTTATTTCTTGTATCGCACAAAGAGAGAGAGAGAGGACGCCGCCAAGTTCTAGGAAAAATGGGAGGGCACGTTTTTGCAATAAGATTTTTTCGCAGCGTATTGTGGAGGAAATGGCATGAGGTTGAAGACGTTTGAGCGGGATGCAAGTTGGAGCAAGACTCGGAGGAAATGTGGAAGAGGTGGGGAGGAAAGGAAAAAGAAAAAAAAAGAGAAGAAAAAAAAGGTGTTGGGAGCAAGAAAAGCAGCAAAGGGGGTGGGTGGGGGTCTCTGGCAAGTTGGCAAAAAAGGAATGGGACAGTAGGCCGGTTTTTTCAAGAGGCGTACATAACGCGCTCGCAAGCAAAGAAAAAAGAAAAAAAAGAAGGAAAGAAAGAAAGAAAGAAAAAAAGGCATAATAGAAATTTGTCGACGTGTGATTTTGTCCGTTTCCTTTTTTTTGTTCAATAAACGTTGCATTTTTTCTCTTTGGATATACTGACTGGTTTCCATCTTGACCCGCTATAATTTTTTCCCGCACCTTTTTGCACAAATGTTGTTGTCTACTTTTTATCCGCCAGCACTCTCAGGTAACCTGCTTTCAGTTCAGAATGACTAGAAGGGCCTGGAGGCCTGACTAACCTTGGTGTGGGGCAGGAGGCAAGACCCGGTAGCCCGGCTCCCTGCACTGACCATGCCAGGTGGGCTAGCAGCCCTGACCCCGGGTAGCAGGTTGAGTAGAGTAGGTAGTGCCAGCACTGCTTTCTTTGGCTCTTTGTGGAAATGCTACAATAAGGCGGGATTGGGGGGTTGCTGTATGGGGGGGTGGTTGTTGAAGGTTTGGTTCTGCTTCCATCCTGGGTCCACTTCTGCTGCCAACAAAACGGGTGTCCTTTTCCTTCTTCTTCTCCTCCTTCTGCTCACGTTTGTTTCTTGGCCTTTTTGCAGCTTGGTCATCCAATTTCACGCAATTTTCAACAACAACAAAACAGGAATGAAAGCATAGTTCTGATGTCAGTTTTCCACCAGTTTTATTTTTATTTTTTTTTGAGTCAAGGCCACCTTTGTTGAAGCCACAAACGTAGAAATATAGGAACTTCTCAAAGTCCAATTCCACGTAATTTCCCAAAAATAACAAAAGAATAATTCTGATACCAGTTTCTCTCGTGTTTCACTTTCTTATGGGTAAAGCTTTGTCAAAGCCATGAATGTAGGAATCGTATTCCTTGTCAATTTTTTGAAGTCCAATTCCTCGCAATTTTCTGAAACAAAAGAATCATTCTGATCAAAATGTCCCTTGTTTTGAAATTTTGTGTGGATTGAGACTGGCTATGTCTAAGTCGTAAACCTCGAAATTGTTTTCTTTGACAATGACGTCAGCGTTTCCTATTTTTTCAATCATTTTTTGCATATCTTTGGCTTTTCTACAAACAAATGAGTATGATTCAGTGTGTAATTGGATTCATGTTTAAAAATTCGCAGTGAGAATTGGATCCAAAATCTTTGAACGTGTTTCTCTTGATGAAGAATGTTCTGATTCCTAAACATTTTCTTGTCAAAACAAATCAGCTAAAGAGGAAATGTCCCACCTTTCCGATTAATTTAATTTCAAGAAGTTTCAACTTTTTATTTGTGTTAAACAATAATAATCTGATTGAGGCTTGAATCACTCATAGATCAGCACTCGCATATTGGGACTGTCATAACTGGAGCATATACTGTACTGGGATTTCTAGTAAAAGAGAAATGCATAAAACGTGCAATTCTTTCCAAAATGTAATTCACAATAACAATGCCTTGAAACACTATTTTTTTGTTGCTTACCTTGCTCTTCATTGAAGTTACGATTATTCATGCTGACTTATATAAAAATGAATAACTTTGATTTGGATTATCATCATGGATCAATGAAGATTTTCACCAAATCACGTATTTGTCTGAATCTAATATTAAAATTAAATGTAAAATAAGTTTCTGAGGAAAGGGCTTTTGTTTGTCGTGAAACTTGATCAGGAAAATGTAACATTCCCCTTCACGGATGTCATATTCATTGCCTACCCAAGTATAATATTGCTCAACTTCTTGGTGGTGATTCTTTAATTTTGATGACCTGAAGCACAATGAAAGAGCATTTTCGTGGCATTTGGGGTTTTGTTCTGCTTTCCACGTGTATGGTTTTGTTAGTATTCACTGTCAATATTTTCAAATCTTGCCAAGTTCTGCTGGTCTTTTTGTTGCATGTAGCTGATGATTGTACAGCTTTCCGAGCCCCGCAAAACATGAACATGAAGTGTCACTAAAATATGTACATGCATCTCCACTTGAATCTAAATGAAAGGTGACTTTTGTTATCGTTTTGTATTTCTATCTCGGTGAGAGTTCAGAACATGACTCACTCTCCGTAACATCCTGAATCTTGAAATTTAAATTCTGAATGGAGCAAGGAAATCATTCCACTACTGCCAAGCACTAGCTTCAACTGGGTAATTTTTTTTTCAAATCTAGGAGTTGGGTAGAAAGAAGACCCTATTATTCATAATTTGTCACTTGGTGGTTTTATTCTTGATGTAGAGTTGCAACATGTTTTTTGTGCTTTAATATCTAGGCTTTACTCTAAAAAAAAAGTATCTGCATCATCACCCCAGCGACTCCACTTCAAAATAAATAAAAAATTTATTTAGCGTGGGAAATGAAGTCAGCATTTTGGAAAAAGAAGTATTTCAAATTCGTTGACTGGAAGTTGTGCTTTGTCTATTGGACTATGGTTTTATGGAAGTAGTTTTCACACAGGAATCACTTCATAAGTTTTGTGTACTTTACCTTACTATGTGCACCTTAATAAACCTTGGCTATCATTAGTAACTGACCTGTACCAGCCTAAAGATGGAGTACATTTAGGATCATCCTTTGGATCCCCCACCCAATGCAGCATGATTTATATCCGTTGGCTATGGTCAGTTCAAGTGACCTAACCTAGCCTAAGGACTGAGTATACTGAACATTTTTAGACTTTTCCAAACCCCTACCCTTAATGCGTGGTTTAGGAGAGGCCACTTCCCAAGATTGATGATATACATGCATGTGAACTCTCTGTCAAATGATTTCCTATGAATAACCATGTTTTTAAATTTGTTGGTCCCATTGGGTTCTCCTCCCAGGTTATAAAGGCTTTCAACAATATTCTTCCCTCTTAAAAATGTTTTCTGGCCATAAAAAGTTGTTGTAGAGAGAGAGAGAGAGAGAGAGAGAGCAAAAATAATTATCTAATTCATGTTCCCAAGAGATTCCTCTTGAATTCTCTCAAAAATTAAGCAATGAATGTGTGATCGAATGCTGTAAGACATTTGTGAGTCTTTTGATGAATTCATTGTCATATGATCAAAATTCCGAAAAACATTTTACTGGAATCAAATCCTGCTGGTGTTCAGAACTTATTACCATGGAATTTTCAACATATTTCAACCAAAGGATTTCTCTGAAGGTGCTGGGTTGAAATTTGAAAGGGTTTCAGTCTAGGAAGAAAAAAAACCTTTATTGGGTATAACAAATATTGAACAAAATAATCATCTTATGTATTGAGGAACACACCACTTACAAAATGTTATACCAACATTATTGACTGATGATTGCTCCAGCAAAGACTCAGTAAAGTTTCAAATGTTCAAATAGGCATCATTGAAAGTGTAAAGAATGGGAAGCAAGTAATATGAAGCAGCCCCTTCTCTTTGTCTTTTTTTGTTATACTAATCCTTTTCTTTGTTTTCCAATTTTTCTCACAAGAACTGTGACTTTCCAAGCATTCAACAGGCACAAACAAAAAGATTTTTAATGATGACAAAGTTAATCTTATAATTTTTTTTTCACATTTTACTCCAAATGGAGATACACCCCCATACCTTTGTTGGTGAGGATCTAGAATCTTAGATGGACACCCTGTTGAGCCAGAAGTGGACCAAACAGAAAGTTTGTGACATTTCCAGTAGTATGGATGGTTGGTTTTTGGTTGGTTGGATGGATGGATGGTTGGTTGGTTGGATGATTGAATGGATGGATGGAAGGGTGGGTGGGCGTAAGGCGGCAGAAGAGGAAGGTCGGTGGCAACAGGGCAGGGCTGGAAAGGGGCCGGGCGCGAGCAGGGGAGGCGGGGCAGTAGTTGTTTGAGTCCATCCCTAACTGGCGTTTTCTTCTCCCACTTGCGCACTTAGACCTGGTGTGGTCACTGGGGAGCCTGGCGGACGGTACGTACACAGAACCCATGAGCCCCGGGTCCGAGTTGACGGTTTTTCGTCGCACAGGGTTCCCAGCCGCAGCAGCAGCAGCCTACGCGGCCTACGGACGCGGTCTGGCAGCATACCCGGGCATCGGGTTCCCATACCCAGCAGGTAACGTGTCGTCTACGTGTCACAACGTGCCTGTGCTCCCGTTCCCGTTCGAACCTAGGGTGTTGAACTTGCATGCCATGCCCCTGTGAAGTCGAGCAGCTGCTCCAATGAATTGTGGGGGGAGAAGCACCTTGATGACAAAACCACCTTTTCCCTGTTAATCTCATCCACCCAACCCATTGTTTTTTTTCCCTGCCCTCATTGACCCACTCAGAGAACAATCATGATGATGATGATGATGATCAAGGCATCAGCAGACAACCAGCTTTAGAATCATGAAACCAGCAGACCAAGTCATTGAACTTCACGATGAGTTGCAATTCCCAACAAATTCATTTGGACAGAGCCTGTAAGCTCTCAGGCAAAGGCTAATTAATGAATATATGAAGGAGTCCATCAGGAAAATGACACAATACTGGTGTTGGTTACATCCCCCTATTATTCTTCTTTCTCCAAAACCAGCTTGAAATTATGCTTCGAAGGAACTATTTTGAACAGGAAAAGGCATCTAGAAATTGTGAGGTGAAATATATGATTCAAGACAAGGGCGTTCATTATTAGGTAGGGACCCATAGGCTCAAAATGAACATCCATCATCAATTTATTCATATAAAATCTCAAGTCATTCTTGTCATGGCAGCGGTTGAAAGAATCATCAGACAGATTTCAAAACCTTGTGATTTATGTGGAGCATAGTTTAACTGTGATGTGTTCAAATTCTTTGAAAACCAGGTTCCAATGATTATCTTTTCTTGAAACCAATTATCAAATGCTACATCATTAACCAGGAATATAGTAATTAGCCATGTGACAACCTTTGGAAGAGTCAATTGGACAGAATTCTGTAAACTCGGAGACCAGACAAAACGCATCCACACTTTCTTGGATATTTCACTCATTTATTTCCCTGTTTGCTTTGATCCAGAATTGTTTGTTAATAAAAAATGGGGATTCAAACTTCATAAAAGAAATGATGTTGAGCAGTTGAGTTTTGTCTGTAACTGTAATTTACCTGCTATTGTTAAATAGTATGTACCGTATTTACTAATGTACCATTTGAACATCTTTTTCATTGAGTGCTGTATGTGAGTATTCAGACTGATCTTCAAAATACTATACCTAACATTCAACAGTTTTAGAGAGAAAAATCTGAACATTCCCTTGAATAAATTGTACAGCCTATATCTGCAATTGAATTAAATGTTCACTTGTGACTAAAATAAGATATCCAAGCCCTGTTGTTTTGAAAATGTCAAATTTTTGGTTGCTCAAGTGAAGGAAATCAAGATCAGCATTTTATGCCAAATGAATACATGTATATCCAGTCTTTATATTAAAAAAGATCCCTGAGCACTTCTTACTGAATGGCATGTTGTACTTGAGTAAATACGGTATGTGTTCTTATACAAGAGACTCTTATCTTACAATTAGAAGTTCAAATTACTCTGAAATTTTGCATGTTCTGCTGAATGAGCAGACATTTTTGCAGCTGAAATGCAAGCAAATTCAAAATTGGCGCCATCTCAGAAAAGATATATACAGGTCATTATTGTATCCTGCATGAAAAGTCAGTTGAAATTAACAGTGAATCTTATAATCAGAGTTGGAACTGTAACAGAATAATCCTTGAATTGCATTCAAATTTCATTCATTGCCTGGACCTTTTTGCAGTGGTTACCACTGAAAAATTTGTGTGTGCAGTTTCCAATGCCTTGTATTGCTGTGCAAAGGCTGCATATGAATCCAAAGACGCAAGGTTTGATTTTGATGAAAAAAAGTGGTACAAATCTCCTGACTCAGGTTTCAGATAATATCAAAATAAAAAGTTGTCAATGGAAATCTGGAAATGCACAGCACATCTTATGAAACTCCGCAAAAAAGCAGGCAAAGTACAACATCTACACCATTTCAGTGATGTAATCTCCCAACAACAAAAATTTCATTGGGAAGTATGCTTGGAAAAATACCCATCTTATTTTCTTTCCAAATATTCAATTTTTTTCTATTTTGACTGAGACTGACTGACAGTTGTAGGATTTGTGGGGGGAGAAAAAACCACGAGTTTGTGATCTTTTGCTTCAAACAATGTACCCTTGGAACCCTCAATTTTGTTCACCTAGTTTGTTGCTGTAAAGTCCAGGAGACATCCTCAAGATGATCTAAAATGGTGCTATGGATGATATCCTTGAGGTCTGGGTACCCTTGGGAATGTACAGAAGGTGAAATCTAGGAAACCATGTAAGTTGGTTCTGATTTATGCAGTGATGAGGCAAAATGTTGTGAGAATGATCCTTGTTCAGAAGTGAAGGAACAAATCCAGTGGTGATCAACCGAGTGGTACCCCTGAAAAAAAATGTATCTGGGCCCTCAAGCCTGTGGCAAACAACTTTAACTTACTGAGAAGTTCACTTTGGGGGGAAAAAAGAAGAAATTGAACAATGCTGCAGAACATTCACATCTGTTCAGGGGTCTTTCATCCCCTTTATTAACCCATTACCTGCCGTGACCCCCATTTGGGGCTAAGGTGGTTTTTGTCCCCCCCAAACAATACCATCCCCACAAAAAGTATGCAAAAATATGCCAAGTCTCCGCAATGAAGTTATCTACAATTTGAGACCTTATTTGCCTATTTTCATTAATTTTATAATTTACAGCAACATGTTTACTGAAGCCAACTCACAAATTTTGTGGTAAACTCAAAACATGATTTTTGGAATGCAAGAAAAGTACTTTCTATTGCAGCTAAACTCAAATTTTCTCATATCCATGTAGTCTAGTTAGTTTTGAATGCTTTGGCTTTTTTTCTGAAATTTTTATCAATTACAACAAATGCTCAAACCTTGATCCCCAAATGGGGCTCACAGCAGGTTGGGTGTAGAAAAATAATTTTCAAAATTTCTTGAAAATGTGCCAAAAAAGTCCCTTATCTTCAGTACACCTAACTGCTGGATTGAGCACCCAAAAGTGATGATAAAAAATTTAAAACAATTTTTCTTCACTTGAAACCATTTTTTTAATATTTTATCTAGTTGTAATAAAGACAATTTTGGTAAACAAATTTATTTGAAGATCCCCTAAGCTTTTTAACTTCATCTAACCATTTGAAAAGTTGGCATCTTACTTGGATTATAGGCTGGATGATGTTCATAAAGTTTTTTAGCTATTACAAAAAAACATTTTCAGAAATGTTTGAAAAATAAAAAAAAATTCATGCATTTCATTCTTAAAGGCATTCTAGCATATGAAATTAATCAGAATATATGTTTGCACTCACATTTAGCTTAAAATATTACAATTTGAACAAAAACTGCAATTTTTTTCAATTTTTATAATATTTTCTCATTAGTGAAAAAGAAGATAGGACCTGCCATGAGCCACATTTGGGGATCAAGTTTAAAATTCAAGTATTTGACAAAATTTCGAATTTAAAATTTGGAAAAAAATGTCCCCAGCCTATCTAAATCTAAATGAAACAATATGATGCAAGAATGGGTGTGTAGGAAACTTGGCAGTTAATGGGTTAATAATTGGGTTTTTGTGCAAATTTTCTTTTCTTTGAGTGAAATTTTTCAAATCAAGTTTATGTGACATGTGGAAAAATTCCCCTCTCCCCTGGGTGTGAGTAACCTTTTTCTTTTGCTTACCTTATTTCAGGAGCAGGGCTCATTTTTCAGTGGGTTTTCTTTTTTGGAAAGTACCAGGTTGTTGTTTTGTGTTGCTTTTTTTTGAGTGTGTTCTTTTTGACATGACGTAATTGGAAATCAGTGGAAGGATGGCATAATCCCTGTACTGTACTTTACTATTGTTTGCAAAGCCCCTTGAGAGACAGAGGTGTTTTATTTATTTAATTGATTATGATGTGCCACTGAGGGTACCAGGAGTGGGTTCCCAAGTGTGTTTTGAATTAATGGGAGAACCACCTGATATAGAAGTAGTGGGACATTTAGGTGTGTTTGCACTTGTCTAACTCTCAAGCCCCTGTTTCTGTAATTATTGGGCATGACCAGTGACCAGGTGCAGACGGAAACCCAAATGTGGAGTTCCTCATGTGTCTTCTCCATTGGTTCTAGGTCTCATTGGCTTCCTTCCTGAGAGGCTTGGTCTTCAGGACATTTTCTCCCTTGGCTTCCAGCCTGGTGACCACTGATGAGCAAAACCGTATTTCAGAGCCATTTTTTTACTGAAGGATCACTGGACACCCAAAACTTAAGCCAGTACCTTTGGATACCTTCATGTAGTTGGTGAACCCTGGGTTCTCAGTGTAGAGCACTTTTTGCTGGAGCATTGTCCATTGACTTTGTGGACACCCCAGGGTGCGCAGTATGTAAGCCATAGTCATATGATAGTCTTTTTGTGAAGTCAGGTCTCACCATAGGATGCTTGGGAGGTTGAGAATACAACCCTGTCTTGAATGTGCACTAACTTTGCGGACACCCTCATAGTATGGGGCTTTGTTGGCGTTCTTGGGAACCCAGGGGGTGTTTATTTAGGATGTTTGGGAGGTGAGAAGCTGGTTATAGGAGAGATTTGGTACTTGACATACTCGGGCTGAAGAATGAGTGGTGGTGTTTTCCAGCTGAGGAAGAAGACAAGTAGCCGTTGTCAGTTATTTGAGAGTTTCTCTACAATAATGGGTGTTGAATGATTCTCCAGGTTATTTTTCTCTCTTTCATTCATTCATTTGTTCATTTCCTTGTGTTCAAGCCAGACCAATTCATTGCACTGCTTTTTTGAGTTCAGGTTTTGGTTTTGTTGTTGCATTGATTTGAAGTGATCCCCGCAAAAAGGGGAAGCAAATGGCTGCTGTAATGGTGACCATGAATCTCTCAAAGTTGGTTTTATTTTCTGGAATTGTGTGCAATGGATTGGGGTGATTGAGTTAAATTTGACTGGTTCCAGACATGGTCGCCCCCAGGCTTTAAACCTTGTTGCAAATGGCGGCCAGGATGAGTGCTTTTGTTTTGCTTCATTTCTTTGGTTGTTTTTGAAAAGGGTGCTTCCCAGGTAACATTTTAACCGTTTTTTCAGCTGCCATGGTGGCTTCCTAGGTCATGTATATCTGGGGGTTGTTTTTGGATAGCTTTATTGGAGGTTTGAGTTGCTGTCATGGCAGCATTCATGTAGTTGTAGGTAGGGTAGGTGTCATGGCAGTGTAGCGCACACAGTGCGCAGGACTACGGGGTGTTGCAAAAGTTTGTATATTTTTAAAAAGTGCCTGAGGGCAGAGTGGTCTCAAAGAAAGAGGGATTACCAGGCTGAGGGGGTTCCAGCCCCCTTTTCCCCCTTCTCCCCAGGGATTTTATGTTTGGTGGTAGCTGCTTGACTTCACGGAATGCATATCAGGGTTCTGGTTTTTGGTTTGTGGGTCCGGGGGTTCACAGGCCAGGTTCGGGTTCTTTTTGTGGTGCTTTGTTTGTGGTTTTTTTTTTCTTGGGGATGTGTGTGGTTCCCTGTGCTCTGTTGGCAACCCTGGGTACACTTTCCCATGCTCTGTATATTGTTCAGTACTGCTTAGCAATTCAAGTATTGTACCATACCAGTTTGTCATCCTTGGCTAATTCTTTCCTGATGGCCCATACCAAAAAGACATGGTTTTTCTGCCCATTTTAAGAATCCAGATCAATCAGCAGTTGCTAAACTTGAAAACACAACATCCAAGACAGAGTTATTTGAGAGAGATTCACCTATTTTCCCTTTGTTTTTTTCACCTTCCTCATAATACTTGAAATTGAAATGGTATTGAAGTTGTAATTGAACAATGCATTTTTGTGAAAAAGAGCTTTACTTGGTCAGGATTTAAATTGTCAGTTTTCCAGTCAGCAGCATGAAAGAAGACAGAATTAAATTCATTTTTTTTTTTTTTATTTGTGTCACATCAAGGTCCAAGAGTGTATATTGTGAAGTGTAATAATGGAATGTCATTTTGTGTTTTGAGAAGAGGAAAGAATAATTTCCAAAGCAGGCAAAATAATAAATAGCCTGTGGCATGGGTGGGTTGGTTGTCTTCTTGGGTGCAATTTGTTCATCTGCAGGTGAATGGACAATTGTCCTCATGGTGACTTTTCTTTACTATTTTCGGATTTTTTGTTTTGTTTTTGCTTTTTTCTCTCTCTCTCACTCAGGAAGGAGACTGATGCCAGGGTTGCCAAAGAGAAATTGGGGATCCAGGGTTTGAAGAAAAAAGGATGATGTTACGCTTTTTTCGGTGGCTATTTTCACACTTGCTCAATGAGTTCCTCGCCAGCACTTCTGAGTTGTTCTTTTCCGGGCGTTCTCTGGGTTATTTGAAAGGACTTCCATGGGCTGTGAAAGAATTTTGAGTGGAGCACATTCATTGGCGGTTTTCTTTTTTTTTTTTTTCTCCCCCTCGGTTCCCTGGGTTGTGACACATGAGTCCATATTTTACGAGCATACTTTTGTGAGAAATGCGGGCAGTCATGTTAGCTCTTACTCACTCATCAGTGTTAGGGACTCAGTGTTGCCCTCTTGTGTGCGCGGCGGGGAGATTGGTTCTGGATCCAGGTTTCATGGAGGTAAATGCATAATGATAAGCCTTTGACTCTCAGTCCCTGCTTTTTTTCCCCCTTCCCCAGTCAGTTTAGTGTGGGACTGCGGGAGGTAATGAAATCTAGGGTTTGAGTGGACTGTGTGCTGCAGACTTGTAGGGAGTGCTAACACTGGGTACCTAGAGTTTGGCTAACCTAGAGCAGAGCAGGGTGGTGAGTAGTGCCACTGCCTGGTGTTTGACCTTAGACAGGTGGCACCCAGATGTTTTTTTGAGTGTTGCACTGGGTTGAGGTTGGGGTCTGTGGTCCGCAGTCCAGCTCTGTGAGGTGATAGATAGAACTAAGGACTTAGGTGTAGGAAGTAAGGCTAACCCCTTTGGGCAGGTAGGTGAGGACTAGCAATCAGGTTAGACAGCCACCATCAGGACAAATGGGTGGGGCCACTAGACACTGCATGTGCATGGGTAGACTTTGAGGCTGTGGCTGGTGATGCAACTGGGCAACCCTGGATGGAGGCACTGAGGCCAATTGCACTCTTGTAAAGGGGGACTTGTCTGGAGGTAAGCAAGTGTTCATGGGGAAGCATGAATGGGTTCTTTTCTCACACCACACTGGACCCATCACCTATCTACTCGTACTGTGTGTGCCTTGATTTGGTTCCCACCTCACCTCATCTGCATGTCCCCACACACACATCATCATTATGTCCCTCCTGTTTTTCCTCTGTTATTGTTCCTCCGCAAATGCTTGTGGTTTGAGTTTGCTTGCTTCATTCATTCATTTTTCATCTTGCCTATGTACTGTAGTTACTCGAGTACCACTTGCCCTTGAGTAAGGTGTGAACCCCCAATTTTCTAAGTAAAAATTGCCCAAAAAGCTATCCCTGCATATGACACGCACCCCAGTTTTTGCTGGCTAAAATATAATTTTGAAAATACTTTTTTTTATTTGAGCTGCCTCAAGTCTCAAATAAATGACTCAAAAAATCAAACTTTTGATCTGCTGCACTGTTGCTTATTTTTTCATCTTCTGAAATCACTTTTAACTTCTCTTTAGCAGTGAAAAATGACAAACATAAATGCTTCCTTCTTTCCATGACAAATCCTGGCAGTGGACTCATTTTTAGTGGTCTAGATGCTGTGAAATTTTATGTCTATCCTGTTTGGATCCATTTTACATTAATTTTTTGTGCTTCCTCCTTGTTATTGTCTACTGGAGCAGCAGTAAAATGTTCTGGCATTTAATGGCAACTTCCCCTATTACAGATGAAAATTTGCCACATCCGTTTCTTCCTGTTGCATCTCAGACACAATTTTCTTAGTATTCCCAGAAAATTCTCCTGCTTGGAAGAAATACTGTATTCCTAAATTGCTATCTGATCCCTTAAACGATTATCCCCTCATAAACAATGAGACTAGGTGCCATGCATTTCCTCTTTATTATTTTTTTGCTTGCATATGACGCGCATAGGGTTTTCCAAAATTTGTATTCAAAATTTTATCCCTGGGTACCCCACGCTCCCTTTTTTTCTGGCTTGAATTCTGGAAAAAAGGTGCACGTGGTACTTGAGTAAATCTGGTATAGTCATCCAACCAATTCCTTTTTTTCATACCAAGAACCTGAATGAGCCAACACATGCCAATGGAAGGGAGTACGCTTCTTCTTTGACAGAAATCACACACAAATGTCCCTTTTTCATTGTTTTAATCCTTTGTCTCCTCCCTTTATCATCAATAGGAAAAACATCTTTTCCAAAGAAAAGTGATCCTTGAAACATTTTCTGGAAGAGTTTTGAGTGAACATTTCTGGCTGTTGGGTTTGAAAGAAAGCAACACACAAAAGCCCTCATATATAATACAGTAGATGTATATTCAAACATGCACAGTTGTGGATTAATTGGTAATATACTCTCCTGGATTTGCTTGTCAAGGATTTTGGTAAGAAGAGACACACACAAAAAAGGAGGGAGAAGTGTGAAGGTGAGAAAAGGAGGATTTTTGCATGACTAGTGATGACACTGAGAAACAATGAGACAAATGATGAGTGTTGATGAAGATGATCCCCTGAAAAAAACCATGGTTTCAAAGTTTTTGAGTTGTTTTGGTTGTCCCATTTTTTGCGCATGAACATTGTGTTTTGTTTTCCTCATAGGCTTCAACTATGGTTATATGCAGACTCACAACACACCAGTGAGTCAGGCTTCAGGTGGGCACCCAGTTAATGGAGACTTGGAGTCAGTAGGATCCAGAAGACCAGGTTAGTCAGGGCCCCTGAAGCCGGATTGCTGGGATACACTTGCATGCACATGGTAGCTTTTTTTGAGAGCACTAGAACACCAACAGCAGGGTGGGCTCTTCAGGTGGCTAGTGTTTTTTTCCTCTCTGGTCCAGGTGGGGCACTGTCTTTGTCCTTACTCTATTGTGGGACCTTGGGTGGTGGTTTCCTGCTGTACCTATACTCTATACAGTTGTGTTTCTCATCATGCCTCTGTTCTGCTGCCTTGTTTTTCCTCTCCCCACTTGCCTTTCATGTTCTGTCTTGACAGCCTGGGGATCCCACCAAGCTTCATCTCCTTACCAGCGGACTCTCTATATTTAAATAATATGTATAAACATAGATGAACAAGTACTTGTATGTACCATGCAGACAGCTGGAAATGAGTTTAAGAACTGATCTGGTTCAAACAATTTGTCAGGCTTGTGCATACAGTATTGCTAATTTTATTTTTCGGATGGCAGAATCCTGTTATGAATAAAGTCCAGGGAACCCACTAAAATTTTTTTTACAGCTGAATATGTACTGTATTTTGCTAACTCAAATCCCTCCCAAGTTAAAAAAAAACTCCATGTGTTGGAATTCTCTCAAGATTATATATATAGTTGGGACCTGAGATGCAACCTTGTCCTTTTGTTGGAATGTACGCATGTTGGATCACATTTTCCATTATTAGACTGCACTGGGAATACTGTACATTTAATTGGTTCTTTTGGGATTATGAACAAAAGTCCCCCAAAAATGCAATAAAATAATTTGTCTCAACTTCAAAGTACAGAAAATAACTTTGCAGAAGAAAGCCACATTAAAGCTGATCTTTTGGCATGAAATAAAGTCTAAAAATTGAAGAAGCTCAAGTTTTTTACACCATGCTTTTTACTGATGGAAAAAAAATCTGAAAAAATAAGTACATGGCTATAATTTTTTGGAAAGTGAATTATAGGTAATATATAAAAAAAATTATAATATTTATAAATTTAAAAAGCTCAAATTTAAAAATCAGAATTGTGAGAAGAAATTCTTCTACAAATCTTTATCAAGTGTCCATATCTTGAGACATCATCTCAATGTTATGGCAGATTTCTTCAGTTTCAAGTATCCCTACATCAAATTGTCCATGTGTCAAGGTGTCTGAATGTTGGGGCCCCATTTAAAGACTCTCTCCCATTCACACCTCTATAGCTCCATTTTTTTTTTCAAATATTTCAGCTATGGTTCTTGGGACCTGGGAAGGAAAATAACAATTAAAATGTAGCTTGATGATTTTCAGAAGGACTTGCAGCACTAATGAGAGAAATTTATCATTGCATACAACTTCAGAATCTTGTCAAATCATTCATCCAGCAGTTGAAACCCCAGAATATCAAAAATTTTACCTTCCTAAAATTCTCCGCTTCCCCCACGAGAAAATTCTGGTTTCCCCTAGCTCAAAACTCTCAAAGTCAAAATTTGCTGGGTCCCTTCAAGTTGACCTACAGAGGCTTGATTGTGTGATGATGTGGATTTTTTTCATGAAATAAGTTCTATTGAATTTGAGATTTTCTGAACGTGATGATGAACTTTCTGAGCAGAATACAGCAAAAATAGAGATGTAACACCTGATGAAACAGATTCCCCCATTAAAACAAAGCAGAATCATCCACATAAGGTATTTATATACAGTAATTGTTATATGATTTTTGGATGAGTAATATTTATTGACCCAGCTGGGAAAAGTGTTGAATCAATACCTTCCTGGGGGAAGAAAAGTTTGGGAGCAAACTTTGCAAATTCTGAAAGTTTTAAAGGCAAAAACAAAAATGCAACTTAGAAATCAATTTGTAGTATTGAATCCTGAAAATTCTGTTGGGACTGTAACAAATAATGCGCTTTGATGAGATTTGAACTGTTGCCCACCTTTGCTTGGAAGGGGTTTTCTGCAGGTTCTTGCAGTTTCAATATTATGACTCAGTAACTACAGTTATTATTTTTCCTTTGCGTACCAAATTCCCTTGTACTGTAGCAAGATCCCACTGTGCCTTTGTGCAATCATTTCCCTAACCCTGTTCAAATTTGTTCCTTGCACAGGTTCCAAGTAAATCATGTCAATGCAAGGTGCTAATTCATCTCAAATTTTGTGTGCTGACCCCATTTGCATCTTGTAAAACTTCACTTTTGGTCAAAATATTTCAAATATTGTAAAAATAGTTTTGGTGACACAGTCAAAAGTTCAAAAATTCCCCAAAGATAGAAGACATTGTCTTGGGCCTTGGCAATGTTAGAGTTAGTGATGCATAGTTTGAAATGTCAATGGGTGATGAAAAAATTTGCTAGCCAAGGAGCAGATACAGTCAAACCCCATTAAGCCACCACCCTCAGTAGCAGCCAATTCATTTTGGAAAAAAAAGTTCTTCCCTAATGATATAAGCATTGGAAACCCCATTGAAACGCCATCTGCCAACATTTTTGACAGCTCAAATATGATCCTTCCAATTAATTTGTTTCTTTGGTAGCCAGGTAACACAAATCAAGTTTCTGTGAGAGGTCTACAATTGGAAAAAAATACTCACACAAAGATGACATAATTTACTTCATGGGAGCATCAGTTGTATGTAATTTATGCATCCCAGGGTTATTTTGAACATTTTCTTTCATGTCCTATTAAACTTGATTTTCATATTATTTTAGCTCTTTTGATAATCCCCAGCCCCATTAAATTGCAACAAAAAGTAGCAGCTTCTCAAGGCTTGACAGAGCTATTGAATCAAGTTGATTCAAACAGATGTTGTGGGATTTCAGAAAGTTGGTCACCCTGGGAAGTTCATTCAGTGTATAGTACTGTACTGACAAATCTGTTGAACCATCAGATCTATAAGTGGTTGTTAAATAAGTAGTGCTTGGAGTCTTTTATTTGTTTGTTTGTTTCTTTCTTAATTTTTAAAATGTTATCTTAAAATTATCCTGATGAGCTGCACTGGACCCATGAAAGGAATGGTTCCTGTCCCGCAGGAGGTGAAGTTTGGTGATGCTGAGGGACGGAGGCCTTGAGGGGGATAGTGTAGATGACCTTGGTTTGGGTTATGTGTTCGCAGTCATCAACAACTATGCTGGGGGAGGGTTCGGGACTCCAGGGTCCCCAGCAGGCAGGGCTTTTCCTTCGGCTAACTCCCCTGGTCCAAACCCTACCACTATTGACATCTACAGCACTGGTGCACCAGAGACCATTGGCTATGTCCAGGCTACTTCTCCTCAGCCTGCTTCCTTCTCTGCAATTGCTGTCAATAGGGTGAGTTGCTTTGGGTACAGGGCTTCTTTTTTGTTTTGTTTTGTGTGACTGTGTCCATTGTCTCTGTGCTTGTGTGGGTGTTTGTGTGTGTGGGAGAACCAGGTGTTGCTTTGGGTGCTGGTGGTCTAGAAAAAGCACCCTAATCGATGGAACCACAACTGTAGAAACCTAAATGCCTGGGTGACACAGCTCTGTTGCTCATATATGAGTTGTCACTGTATGAAGGTTGTCCCAGTTGCACCTGACCTCTGCTATTTTCAGAATAGGTGTGACTGTAAAAAATAATAATACTCTAAAGATAATTATGAAATAGCCAATGATGTTAGTAAGGTTCTGAGAATTTTCAGTTTTTTGAAAATTTCCTCAATTTAGTGCATGATGATCTAAAACTTGTCAACAGCCAAAGTTCTCCACTCATCTTACAGGGTGTTCAAATTTGTTAAGCTACCTTAAAGATAAAATGTTTGTTGTTTTACACATTACATTTTCTAAATTTTACATGATGGTTAAAACAATATATTAAATTCAGTTTTTTTAGCAAGCTTGACACATTTTCAACAACCTGTGAGATGGGTGGAGAACTCTGGCTGTAGCTAGAAAGTTTTCTTTCATCATCATGTGATTATTTGATTTTTTTAATCTGAAGAAAATTGCAGAACGTCATAAGGTATTTTGTGATTATTTTTCACAAATATACCTTCTCAAAAAATATGAGAGGTCACATTCGACTGAGGAAACCCTCATATACAGTTGGTCCCGGCATTGCAAAGCTAATCTGTTCCTGGGTTTCCTTTTTTATTCAAGAAATTGTTTCCTGCTGCATTGCAAATTCCTTTAAATAAGGTTCCATTGAGAACAAATATTTTTTTCCAGAAAACAATCAAGAACTTTTGTTAGACCCACAAAAAGACTTAAAACTGTGTTGCATTCTGGCTACCGTGTTAAAACATAAATACCTCAGAATTGTTTTACTCCTAAAAAAAATTATAAATCTTGCTCCTTTTTCAAGCTACTATATTTCTTGTCCATCAATATCCATGATCAATCTTTGTTAGTGGCATTTACATTTTAAAAATATTGTCCCAAGGTTTACGCAATCATTGTCCAAAATTTAAAATGTTGACAGTGATCAATCACCTAAAATTGAGCATTTTTTGTCTCACAATTTTTGGTATGCTGAAAAAGGTCCTCATGTGAGTCACTCATTCCTGTGTAAAAATTTCTTAATTTGGATTTTTCCTTTCCCAAGGAAGTAATTTGTTTTGTTGTGCAGGGATACACTGTATAAGCTACTCCTGCGCCATCTGAGATACTGTGTCAAATCAAAACGCAATTCAAGTGACTTCAAAGTGGAACATTTTGAAGGAGTTGCTCAGCAGCTTCTCTTTGCTAATTTCTCAATGCCACATTGTTCAAGACAAGAAAATTAAAAATATGCAATTTTTAATGTAGAACATTTCTAGCAGAGTTTGAGTTAAAGGTTCCAGTTTTATTTGATACAGTGTTGGAAATGGCGCCAAAGCTTGCTGGCTGTGGAACTTGGCTCTTGTGTGGTACCTGCTGGCACTGATTGTGGTCCACTGTGGTTTCTTGCTCTGTTTAAAAAAAAAGGGGGAATGGAGTTGGTGCTATACTAATGAGTGTAGCTCTGCTGCAACACAACCAGCATTGGTTCTTTTGGAAAAATTAATTCATGAATGTGTGTGTTTCTCTTTTCTTTGTTTGCTTGCGCAGGGCCCCATCCTGACAGCTGCATTCACCAACGGGTACCATTGATGACAGAAGTGAGGAGGATGAGCAGGGATCCCTCTGGAGCCCAGGAGATGAGGGAGGATCCCTATACCAGCTACAGTTTTGAATGAGGAGTGCAAGGGATTTTTTGATTGGTGCACGCGGCGTATTTTTCCAAAACAGTTCAGTTCAGGTCACTTTTCCCTCATCCCCTCCACACATGTGATGGTTTCTGTCTCCCGGTGGCATTTTTGGTTTTTCCCTGCCTCCAAATGTTTCTGGAGTCAAGACCCTTCTGTCCTCTGTGGCCCTCAGGCAAATCTCAGCTGGGGGTCTGGTGTCTTTGCCTTCCATCTCAATCAAGCAACAAGGTCCCTGTTGAGGCTGTTGTGTCAAAAGAGTCAGGTCACCAGAGGCGCTTGGGTGTTATTTTTTCCTTGATGAAGAATATTTGTGAATGGGAGGTTTGGTGGCAGTTACCAGGGTGGGCTGAGCTGGTGTGTAACCTCCTGCATGAATTGGAAGCAACGCATTTTGTAAATGTACAAATTATGATTTAGCGTGCTTTTGCAAATGTGCTTTGCGCCTCTTTTGAATTTTTGGAGAAAGAAAAAAAGTGAAGGTGGCCTGATTTTCTTTGATGCCTGTTGACCTTTTCTTGGGGGTGGCGGATGAAGTCCAATCAAGTGACTGACTGCTGCATGGCCATTCCATTTAGGTGCTCCTTGGCAAAAAAAAATTAGAGAAAAATCATCATGTCCAGCTATCTTTGTCATGGGTTTCCAAAGGGACCTAAGTTGGCCATTGGGGGGGGGGGTTATAGTAACAAAAATTACTTTACTCTACTGGGTATCTCATCTGATGGGAGCGCAAACAATGTATAAGAAAATTTTTTTTAAAAGGAAGGCAACACCAGCCCTTGGCAGGCTTAGATATTTGGGATCCTCATGAGTTGGCCCTCACCAGAAATAGAGTTTGGAATAACCCAGGCAGTCATTATTGTTTTAGTTTTGGCAGTACTGTAGCTTGGAGTATTGATACAGTAGTTGTATAGCAAGTGGTTTCTGCAGACGCGTTTATATTGAGTACAATATGTGCATAGTACTGTACTGTATGCTAGACACTGAGGATGACTGATGGAGAGACAGAAGGCTGAAGGGCACAGAGAGAGAGGAAGAGAGTAGGACAAAGGGAGCAGAAGAGGGGGGGTTGCATTTCCATGTGTTCCAGTGGCACACTTGCTTGTTTCCTCGGAGACTCTTCCGTTCATGGCTGTGATTAATCGGTTTCGCCCCCCTGCGTCCCCCTTTTTCAACTTCAGTTCAGGTCCCCCCAGGTCACAGACCCAGTTGAATTCTCACCATTTTTTGAGTGATACTCAGAAGTGATATGTTTTTGGTTTGTTTCCTAAGGACTTGGGTTCATGGCGAGTGTTCGCCCGCATTGCTGTCAACGCCATTTTGATCTCAGAGTGCGGGAGAGAGAGAGAGTGATGTATTTTGGGAGACTGGCTGGTGATGTTCTTTCTCCATCCCCTCCCCCACTGAGAAGGGCCTTTTTTTTCAAGGGAGGGTTTGGGGTCATCCTTTGGTCAGTCAGCAACCACTTCCTCTGCCTTTTGCTCCCCACCCTCACCTTTTTTTTGTTCTTTCTTCAAAAGCCCCTATGTACCCCCTATATTCCCCTTGTTCTTGCCCCAGGTCTATATATAGGGGAACCACATGTACTATGGTGGGTCAGTCTGAACTTTCAGTCCAGTACATATATATACTTGTGTATGTATGTGAGAGGGTGTGCCCTGTTTGATGGTTTTGTATTCTGCATTATTCTGTCTCCACACTTGTTGTATGCAGGGGCTTTTGAGCAGTATACTGATGGGAAATGTGTTCTCTTTTTTTTCTTGAAAAGCCTCAGTTAGTCTTGAGCTCTTTCAATTGATGTGTACTGTAGTCAAGTACAGTGAAAAACTCATTAAACTACCACCCTCAGGAACTGCCAACATTTGAGAATATTTTCTTGAGAAATGAAAATATTCTCAATATTGAGCAGCACAGGAAATTTTGATTCGATGCCATCTTCTAAGGTTTTCCTCAACCATTGTTTTGCTGTTTGATCAACTTTTGACATTTTTCTGCCCTCTTGATGAGCATTTTTTTTACATGCAGTACTTCCAATCCTTGAATACCAAATTTATGAGAGTACCATGTAAATGTGTTTTTTTCTGCAACAGAAAAAAAACTGCGCCCATTATTGGACTCAAGCACAATAAAGTTGTTCTTAAAATTTTCCAAATTCTTGTGCGCATTATCCTTGGATCATATTACATATAAATTATAAAATAGAAGCAAAATGGATGCAATTTCATCATAGTAATGTTTCTTTTCATCTGAATATCAGTAGATAATTTTAGCTCTGTGAATGGTAAACATTTTTCCCTGATTTTCCAGCTAAAAATAATCTTGCCTGACACTAAAGTAAATATGGTATTATTGTATGCCTAATGCACTCACCTGCAACTGTTTTGTCTCTCAAGCAAACAGATGCACATAGAAGTTGCCATTAAAGTTGAAGAATTTTACCAGGATGGCAGTTCACATTTTTGCCATCAAGAAAAAAAATTTTCTTGCTGAACAACTTTTCCCTTCCATTTTTCCCCCTCCTTCATAAACTCCCAGAATTGTCCTGCACAGATTTTGGCATCTTTTCAATGTTTGACTGTAATATGCTTTGATGATTAGCCATTTTCTTCCTGCAATTTTAATCCTTGTAATTTTTTTGACTCTGGAGACTGGAAGAATGCATTTAAAATCTTTCAAGCTTGAAACTTCAAAAATAATGAAGGGGATGATGTTTTATTTTTAATTTAGAAAGTATTTTGGGATTAGTTGGTTGAAAACTGTGAAACTGCATAATGCTTACATCTGATACTTATCAAAACCTTGTTGGCTAGATTAGATCCGACATTTTGTTACATTTAAGAAAGAGGATTTGTCATCCATTCTCAATTATTGCAAGAAATCTCAGCAAGGAGTGTAATCAAGGTACTGACCAGCTTTCAAAGGATTGCCAGACTGAAGATTCTTTTGGACATTTACAAATGAGTTCCTCTGAAATACAAGCAATGGTCAACAACAAAAAATCAAACAAATCCACACACAAAAAAATCACTAAAACTTGAATCCAAAAAAACTTCAAGCAGCCCATTTCAAAGTTTGACAAAGACTTGAAAATCTCTTTGGTGAGTGTGTGTATGTGTGGAGAAAGTTTGCAGTGGGATTTTGCCTTCAGTCGTGTGCAGCATCCTTCAGGTGGCTCAACAGAGCTAAGAACTGGGAAAATTTTTCAGAAAAGAATGTTGTGTTCTTGGTGACGGTCTCAGTGGTGTTCCTGTGAAAAAAAATTGGTTCTTCCGGGTGTCACTGGCGAGTTACCTGAAGGCTGGAGCAGGCGTCCCTTGGGGTGGGGAGACAGGAGGTTTTGCTGGCAGAAAGAATGACCAATTTTTTGGAACCAGGTGAAAAGGGTTTTTTTGTTTTTCCCCCTGTTTCTGTTGAGATATGAGTGCACAGCAGGCAAGGGGGATCCCCGGGATTCCTCCAGCACTGGCCTCCTGGAGTGAAAGGATCCCAGGAAGAGTTGAAACTGGGTTTTCAATCTTCCAGCGCGAAACGGCTGCTTCACGCAATAACAGAAAAGCAATAATTGTGGCGCATTGTTGCATATATTTATTGAGAGCAAGTGGATTTTGGAGAAACGGTTGACCTGACCTGGAAATATATATGCCGGGGAATTCCCTGGTTTGGTTTTCTCGCGAGTTTCTTCCAGGGAGCCCACATTTTATCCGCGGGGACGTTTTAGCGAGCACCAGGAAAGCGTTTGGAATTTTGGTGAAAAACTTTGCAACAAGAGATGGTAAATACGGTCATGATAAAAATGGAGATGTCAATAAAAGCATTGTTTACAAAAAAAAACCCTGGCTCCTTGACAAATCTTCAACTATTTTTCCTCACCTCTTTCTGACTTATTCCCAGGCATTTTCATGTAGCAATGAAATCATCCTGATCAAAATACTCAGTCAAATATTCATCAGCATCATCTGCCTCAATATGAAACAAGTTTCTTCCTGGTGAAGCCATACCCAATGGATTCCAAGAGGAAAATCCTGAAGCCCATTGAGACGCAGCAAATGAAGCCTGAAAGATGTGGCTGTATTTCTTGGCAGTTTGTCTGGAGACTTGAAAAGAATATCTTCCACGGTCTGCACTGTATTGCTTCAAATAAATAATAAATTTGAAATTTTCATTGGTAAATCAGGTAGTGTCAACAAACTAAGTTGTGGTGGTCTGACACAGGGAATTTTCAACAGTTGGCAGTTGTGGCACATTTGCCAACAATTGAAGGTGGTACTGTATGACAAAGTTTTATTTTCTGATCTAACTCAGCAATTCAACCATGCTTCTAAATGTTTACCACTTGTTTCAAGGGACATTACTAAGAAGTAGCACACAGTTACAACTGATCAAATAGCAGCAATTTTGCACAACTTCTAACAGAAATTACCTTTGTTGGATATACCACCTTCTGACACCCCTGCTGGCAGCAGGTGGTACACAAACAATTCATGACATGAGTTGAAAATGGTGTGATTCAAAAAATGGCTGAAAATCCCAGTTGATGAGTGGAGAACATCTTTATGACAGGTGATACAATGTATGTTGGGAAACCACAGCACTGATGATCAATGGCTTCTCATGATAAGAATGCCACAAAGGCAGCCAGATGGTTCATACAAACCACAGTTTTACAGATGGTTAAGATTACCTTGGGGCATTAATTGTGCTCTGTTCATGTTAAACGCAGCTGTCTGATTTTTATACACAGAAGCCCACAAAAGGGGCAATATATCACTAGAAGAACAACTTGAATTAGAAGACCCCTATGTTGACAATGTTCTCATCACCCAAGAAAATGTTTACATCATCCATGATAAATTTAAAAAGCTTCAAAAGCTTTGGGCATGGGATTCTTCAAATCAACAAAAATCCAAACATACCCCATACAAGAAAATTCAAATGAACCGCAACCCACCAAGTAAAAAATACTTGGTATGACATATGATGCCCTCACTGATGAACTGTCCCCATATGCTGACAATATCCTCAAGTTTGCTTCAAAAGCAACACTACAAAAAAGACATGCAGCAGGGGTCATAGCAGTCCCATTTGACCTCCTTGGTGATGCATCTCCATCTGTTACAGAAGCAAAGATACTTTTTCAAAAATACAATGACAACCACCCACATTCAAAGTGGGATCACAAATTAAATCCCAAAGAAATTCAACAATTCAAAAAACTTGCTGTTTCCCTAAAGCAAATTGAAGAAATCAAAACACCATGGTACATTAAGGTACCCAATGAAACCAGTGCAGAAATACATGCCTTTAGTGATGCCAGCAAATTAGCCATGGGCATAGAAGTATATTATGTCTGAAAATCAGCAACAAAACCTTGAGTTACCCTACTTTGGTGAAAGTCCAGATAAATTCCAGGACAACAATGCAAATCCATCAAAGAAAAACCTGAACCCATCAAAATTAATCAATTAGAACTCACCGCAGCATCACTTGTTGCACAACTTGTAGAAGAAATTTAACATACTGTTGACATAAGTCTTTGCAAAATATTTTTTGAACTGACTCAAAAACAACATTACATTGGATACACATGGAAATCCCCAGAGTTACCATCTTCATAAGAAATAAAGTCAACATAATCCTAACAACCTCCCATAAACATCAGTGGGAACATATCCCTCGAGATTGCAATCCTGCTGATTTAGTATCACGCAGTCTCAAACCCAAAAAAGTTTTAAAATCAAAACTATGGTTTCAAGGACCATCATGGCTAACTGACAGAAGAGAATGGCCCATTCAAATGAAAATATTTCATGTCAAACTAACATTGCCCATCACAAATGCCCACACATAAGATCTCATGCTCACAAACAAAACATTCAAAAATATTTTTCAAGGTAAAAACACATGGAAACAAATTGTAAAATGCATTTGTGCCATATCCTGCATCAAAGAATTATATTATTACAGAATGTATAAGAAAACAAACCAATTAAAGATAAAAGACTTACATCTCCCATACCAATCGTTCAAAGAAGAGTTCACACCACGGGAATATGAAAAAGCCAAAAAATGGCATTCAGACTATTACAAAAATTCTTTATGCATGAAGACTGGATACTCCTTAGTTCTGGAAAACACATGCCAAACAAACCTGATTTAATATGGAATCCAATAGACTAATTAATTATGTCTAAAAGTCAACAAAACGTTGACAACCAAAGAGATATTCACCATGACCACATGGCAAGAAGGATCTTAATATATTTACCAGTTCCAAAAAAAGATGATCACTGCAATATCTTTAAAGCATTCTTTAAAAGTATGCGCGTAAAATATGCACATGCCTCACCAAATCAATTATTAGAACATTTATCCTTCAGATTTTGGATGCCTGGCAGTCTCAACTTAGCTAAAGAAGTGAGAATAGAATGTCAAGTATGCCAATGTTTTGATCAAAAACCCTTTCAAGCAAAACAAGCACCACTAACTGACTACAGATACACAGGATTGATTCCATTTCAAAAAATTGGCATAGACTTTGTTGGCCTTTTCCAAACTTTAAACTTTGATAAAACCAACAGAAATATACGTAATGCCAAACAGCCAAAACAAGAAACCAAACCACTAAAGAGAATCACACCCATACCCCCTTGAGTAATATCCATCTGCATATTCACATGTACTGCCACTAGAGTCATACACCTAAAGCCTGTCAAAAAGTAGACTAAGATCACTTTATTGGTGCATACAAAACATTTTGTTATAGCCAAGATGTAACCCCATTGAATTTGTCTCCAATAATGCTAAAACCTTTCAAGCAGCATGGAGAAAGTTCATGGCAAACATTGAAACTCAAAATCATGTTAAAAAACATTTTCCAAAAATGGTTTGGCACTTGAATGCTGTTAGAGCATCATGGTGGGGGGGATTCTTTGAAAGACTTATGCGCATGATCAAAGAAAAATATGCAAGAGCATTTCAAGAAATCCCTTAAAGCAATGACAACAAACTACAGTAGAATTTTGTTACAACAAATCTTGTTACAACAAATTTTTGCTCACAACAAATTTTTTTCCAAGTCCCGGCAGTTGTCCTTAAGGCACATCTTGAATTAATCTCATCATAACAAATTCATTTTCCACAAAATTTCCGGCTATAACAAATTTTTGTCTCTAATTTTCAAAAATGTTCATTCAACTTTCAGATTTTCAACCCAAATTTCCAAATTTTTGTCCCAAATTTTTACATAACTTCCTGAGGCTCATCATTTGTAGATAGTGGACAGGAAATTTGTCTGCAGGGGAATTACACACTTGAAAATACAGGAAGTTATAAATGGGTAACATTAGCAGACTGGTAGGAAGCCCATAAACTAAATGTATCCTGATCCATCTAATATCAAACATCTCAGGAGTCTGGAAGCACAGTGCCAAGCTAGCCACCCAAATCTGTGAAAAGCTGTTCTTATTCCAATGCTCTTCTGTGTTGAGTTCTTTTCCATTTTTAAAATGCATTGTCAAATTTGACCATTTCATAAAAGACTAAGTATATTTACAAATATTGCTGAGAGAAAAAAATGGCTACAGTGCTTCAGGCAATAAAATGCTTTTACAGATCATAAAGTGTATTTCTGTGAATAAATCTATGAATCTCAATATAACAAATTTTTTGTTACAACGAATTTTTCCCAGTCTCTGGGAGTTTGTTGTAATGAGATGCTACTGTATACTCCTCCGTAAAATTCATTGAAGCAGCAATCAATTCCAGACCATTAACTTATCAATTTGCAAACAGAGATGCACCAATGTTTATATCCCCATCAATGTTCCTCCATATACATCAAGCTGATTGGAGAATACACCCTTTTGCATACGGCCCACAACTGTCCAAATTCTTAGAACTCAATGATAAAGGCAAACTAACCAAACAAGGGTTATTTAGATACAAAATATCCAAAAAACTATGGCAAGCCTTTCAAGATGGCTACATTAAAAATTTAAGAAAATTTACAAGAACTCTTAACAAAACACCAGAACTTGAACCCAAAGAAGACCAAGTTGTGTTACTTAGTAAACCAGCAATGAAATAAGACTCACCCTTTGGAATACATAAATGGGGCATGGCCAGAATCCTCAAAATTCATTGCAGTCCACAAGATGGCATCATCAGATCAGTTGATATACTCACTTCATCCCCCACACAAAACAGAAATGATGAACCCATACCTATAATTTTGTAAAATCAATAAATTAAAAACCTTATCCTATTTGAAATGGATGTCCCTCAGCAAGACAAAAAAAGAAGGAACCCATGAAAGTAATTTACAAGTTTTAGTCAATTATTGTATACACAATAAATTCAACCGGCAATTAATTAACAGTGATTCATTCAGTTTTAACAAATTGGCTCATACTAGCCCTCATAACAGAAATTGAGCAACCTTCCGTTCCACAAAAAAAAGAAATACAGTACCATCATTTCTTTGCAAAAAAATTTGGACATACAAAATGAGCATCTTCAGAATCTTTCATTGCACAACAAATTCAACCCATAACGTACCACCATATACCAGATCCCAACAAGCTCTTCTCATTACTGTAATGCCAACAAAAAATCTTATGTTCTCAACAAAACCTCTCAGATCCTAGCAAACTGGCAACTCAACTTTGAACACAACAAAAAACTACCAACAGATAACAAAACAAAACAAAACCCTTAATGGGCACCATTCATAGAGATTGCTCCACAAAAAATCAACATCAGCCCCAAACAAAACAGCACATATCAAAATATCAGACATACACCAGTCTTCAAACAAACCCACCTTTCATAAC